ACAAAAAAGAAAGAAAACACATTTGCCCTTCTCTGATGTTTAGCCAAGCTCTCCTCACAGTAGTTTTAGTTCTTAAAATTGATCTTTTCCCTCTCTTTCCTTCATTATTACTCTCTTTCTTCTCTTCTCTTGAGTTTCTCTTATCTCACACTTCTTTTCTTGATGAAGGATCAGCTAATATAGAAGAAATTGAGCCAATTTATATTCATTCAGTCTTCCCTCTTTGCTGCCCCACCTCTCAAATTCTAGTGGAATTTAGTTGTTTCTAATTTCCTCAGAAGATGTTTTTATTTTAACACCCAAGCAGTGCACTTCCACGCCCATGTGGGAACATAGCTGAGGTTCACGATGCAGAAGAGGAAAAACTTGGGATGAGAGAGAATCTGAGAAATTTCTGAGATATGACGCAAATGCCAAGGACCCATGATTCAGACCACATGCGCTGAATATGCACCAATCACGGGCCAAGGATGTGAAATACTGGAGTCCTGTCTGACTTCTCCCACTCTCACCTGAACCCCCCACTCCTTTAAAGGTTACTAGTTCAGTACCAGCTTGCGGCCTGGTGGTTAAGGAGCTGGACTCCCACATGGCTGACTGCGGTTTAAGTCCCAGATCTGGTGGCTTGAAACTCACACCAAGTGTGTGTGCGTGTGTGCCTGGAGTCTGAAGAGGGGAATGGAGGAGAAGGGATTGCAGTGTGGCCATCCCCTCCAGTGGTGATGTCTCACTTTCTCTCTCCAGTGAGCACACATACTCTATAGCAAATATTTCTCTCAAGGGAAAAAAAAGTTTGCTAATCTACCCATTCCATGAGTAAGAGAAAGCGAGGGAGGGAGACAGGCAGCACCCCTTGCAGGGTCCCAGTGCTGGGATCCATGCCCAGCCCTCCGCCAACCCCAGATCATGAGCAAGCGTGCACCTGGCACGTTTAGGGAGGTCTCTGGACTCAAACCAGGAAATTTCCCGCATGGGATTGCTTCCCAAAGCATTGCATTTTACCACTGTGCCACCATCCAGCCCTTATTTCACAACAAAACAAAACAAAACAGAGTCTTACCATGTCACAATCCTCCTGCCTCAGACTCCCAGCTGGGACTGCAGGTAACATCACCACGGGGGAGGGGGAGTGCCTCCAGACGCTTTTAAAGCACCAGCTCCAGGACTGGAACCATAGTGAGCCATGTGGGAGTCCAGCACCCTTAACCACCATGCCACCTGCTAGCTCCACCCAGATCTTTTTCTAAAATTTGCTATAGCGTTTGTGTGCTCACCGGAGCCAGAGAGAAGGAAAATGAGAAGGAAAATGGCCACCCCACAATCCCTTCTCCTCCACTTTCCTTTCAGGATTTTGGGCATTCGCATTCATGCGACTGTTGTTTTTCTAACAGCTGGATCAAGGACTCAGACCTTGCTGTTAGCCATGTGGATCCAGCTGCCTTAGCCGCCAGGCCACAGGCTGGCCCTCAGTTCTCTTTCGGACAATATCTCACTATGTTGCCCAGGCCAGCCTTGAGCTCATGATCCTCCTGGTTCAGCCTCTCAAGCCAATGAGCTTACAGGTGCTGGCACTGCACCTGGCCTTTAGGTTGGACCTGGCATCCAACCCGGGCCTCCCGTGTGGTCCCAGCCAGCGGTGCACAGCATCCTAGCCACACAGGCCACTGAGGTTGGATCTCACCGCAGTTGATGAGGATGATTTCCACCCTCTCGCTTCCAGCCCCAGCCCTACCGTGAGTTCTCAGCATGCCTGACTGGATACCCCACAAACACTTCTAACTCATGTTCAAGACCAGATCCTTTCTCTTCTCTCACCCCTGTCAGACCAAGCCAACTACTCCTTTTGAATTTCCAATCTCTGGTTGCCTGAGCCAGGAAATGAGGAGATAGGACAAGTAAAGGCCCTGTCCTGAGCCAAACCCAAGGCCAAAGGGAATCAGAATTACAGATCCTGTATTTATTTAAGATTTTTAAAAAAGTTTTTTGCTATAGGGTGCGTGCGCTTGCCAGAAAGACAGAGACAGTAAGTGAGAAATCACCTCCCAGGGGAGATGGCCATGCCACAATCTCTTCTCCTCCATTCTCCTCTCAGAATCTTGGGCACACACACATGCGCCCCCAGCGTGAGTTTAAGCTACTGGGTCCAGGACTCAAACCACGGTTGATTACATGGGAGTCCAGCAACATAGCCATTATGCCAACTGCTGGTCCCAAATAAAATAATTCTTTAAAAAAAAAAAATAATGTGGTCCTGGGGGCCAGTAGGTGATATGATAATTAAGGTGCTGGATTCTCACATGGCTGACTGTGGTTTGAATCCTGGACCTGGCATTTTGCTTTCTCATTCTCTCTCTCTCTCTCTCTCGCACGCATGCCCTATAGCAAACTTTAAAATGTAATAATAATAATTGGGACCAGCAGATGGCATAATGGTTACATTGCTGGACTCCCACGTAGTTGACTGTGGCTCAAGTCCCAGACTTGGCAATTTAAAACTTATGCCAGGTGCATGTGCATGTATGCCCAAAAATCCTGAGAGGAGAATGGAAGAGCAGGGATTGCAGTGTGGCCATCCCTCTTGGGGGGTAATTTCTCACTTTCTGTCTCTCTGTCTCTTTCTGACTGGCAAGAGGACATGCCCCATAGCCAAAATCTCTCTAAAAAAAAAAAAATTTTTTGGAGAGATTTTTGTTATAGGGCGCATGTACTTGCCAGAGAGACAGAGAGAAAGTGAGAAATTATCCCCCAGGGGAGATGGCCACACCACAATCCCTCTCTTCCATTCTCCTCTTGGGATTTTGGGCATGCATGGACATATGCCCAGTGTGAGTTTCAAGCTGCTGGGTCTGGAACTCAAACCACAATTAGCCGTGAGGGAATCCAACACCCCAACCACTATGCCACCTGCTGGCCTCATAAATATATACATATTTTTTAATTCTACAAACAATGAAAAAGTGTGAGCCTGGAGTCCCATTTTCTGGGTTTACAGCTACATTACTTAGGCAAGTTATTTAACCTCTCTGTGTTTGGGGAGTATGTGGTGTGTGTGGTGGTAAGAGTACCTCCTTCATAAGGCTATCGAGAGGGTTATGTAAAACGTGTCCACAAGCTAGCCCGTGGCAGCACAGTGGGTAAGACAGTTTGTGGTTAAGGGAGCCAGATCCCACACGGCCAACCATGCCGTTCAAGTCCCAGATCCTGGAACATATTCTAGGTGCATGTGTGTGCGCCCAAAGTCCCAAATGGAGAAGGGAGGAGCAGAGACTATGGTGTGGCCATCCCCCTGGGGGGTGCTTTCTCACTTTTTCTCTCTGTCTCTCTCCACCATGCCCCCTGTAGCAAAGTGTCTATAAGGCCTGCTCCATGGTGCAGCAATAATACATTGCTTAAGTGAGGCTGGATCCATGTGGAAGACGGAGTATTCGGCTTCCTGATCAATGTGTTCATACCAGTCCATGTGCCCATGATCCTGTCTGACTGGAAAGGCTGGGGAAGCGGGAGAATCATGATAAGAGCTCCCATTAAGGGTGTTTGTCTTTCTCTCTCTCTCTAATCACCAGAGAGCACGTGTATTCACCAGAGAGAGACAGAGAAAGAGAGAGGGAGAAGGTACCCCCCCAACAGGGCATGATCACACTGCAATCTCATCTCTATTTCTCTATCCTGTCTGGATTTTGGGCATGCATACACACACACCTGGCATGCATGTTTTTCAAGCCACCTAGGGCTGGGCCATGTGGGATCTGGCTCCCTTAACCACAAAGCTATGGAGCTGGGCCCTTTCTTTCTCTCACTCATTCTCTGTCTCTAATCTCATGAATGAAATAAAAAATTTAAAAACTCAGGTCAGTAGGTGGCATAGTGGTTAAGGTGCTGGATACTCCCACATGCCTAACCACAGTTCGAGTCCCGGATCTGGTGACTTGTTTTCTCACTTTCTTTCTCTCTCCTTGTGTCTCCCTTTAGTCAAAGGAAAACAAATGCATGAATAAATAAAATTAAATAAATATTTGGAAAAAAAATTAAAAACTTTGGGGCCAGCAGGTGGCATGGTGGTTAAGGTGTTGGACTCCCACATGGCCAACCATGGTTCAAGTCTTGGACCTGGCGTTTTGCTCTCTCTCTTTCTCTCTCTCTCTTTCTCTCATCAAATTAAATAAAAAATAATAACACATAAAATTAAATAAATATTTTTAAAGAACTTTTTAAAAATTAGCATAGCTATGCTACACAAAGCTCAGTACAGCCCTCAGTGAGTGCTTGCTATTGTTATAATCGGGCTCCTTGTCCAGTGTTCTCTTCACAACTCAGCTGCCTTTGAGCAGAAACTCCCTAAGGGAGTCTGAGAGACTCTAGAATGACCCACATCCCACCAGCTGGGGTCTCCCAGCTTCTCAGCAAATCCTGCTGCACTGGAAGGAGGACATGCACCTGACTACAGATAGAGCTCACGCAGGCAGACAGACAGACAGACACCAACATCTCCTTGGAGGCCCAGGGGCTGCAGTCACCGTCCTACATGAAATAAAGCCACTAAAAGCCCCAGGCATGTGAAACATTGAAATGAATATCTCAGGCTGCTCCCTGCCAGAAGCCAGGACCACATAACTGAGCAGAAGACCTTGAGCCATTGAGCGCCATGACCTAGACACACTAGCTGTATTTTTAGCCTCTTGTGCACTGTTTCCATCACCTGTGCTGGGCTTTCAGCTGGAACAGAGAAGGTGGGGGCGGGGAGGGCTGCAGGGGTGCTTTCTCATAGCGGCCAGCAGGAGCTTGTACGCTATTTCAGAGTTCTGTTGTACATACGGCCAGTTTCATGGCCATGTGACCTGTGAAGTGACACAGGTTCCCATGCTTGGAAGGGCCCCACAGTTGCTTCAATGCTCTGCTGTGCCCATTTTGAAAATCTTTATTTTTTAAGTTCATTTATTTCCTCTATGAATGAATGAGGAACGGAGACAGAGAAATAGTACTCCCAACAGGGGTTTGACTCCATGATCCGCCCCAGTTCCAGCCAGCTCTCGATCGTGGGCACATGTGTCCGCTAAACTCAAGGAGGTCTCTGAATATAAACCTGCAACCTTCATCAGCCTCAGGGTCACGTGACCACAGTGCCAGGTCCAGCTCCCTCACCTTGGCACTCTTCATCATTTCGAACAAAGGACCCCACCTGTTCATTTCCCACTGGGCCGTACAAATTACATAGCCAGTCCTGCTTGTATACTGGCTGAGAGAGCCAAATGAAAGAAGGTAGCTGATGGGGCCAGCAAGTAGTGTGGTGGTTGAGGTGCTGGACTCCCATATGGCTGAGAGTGCTTCGAATCCTGGACCTGGTGGCTTGCTTTCTCACTTTTCCCCTCTCTCTCCCTCTGGTGAATATGTGTGCCCTATAGCAAATTAAATAATAATAATAATAATAATAATAATAGGGCCAAAAGGTAGTGAGGTGGTTAAGAGGCTGGATTCCCACATGCCCCACCGGTGGTTTGAGTCCCAGATCTGGAAGCTTGCATTCTCACTTTCTCTCTCTCTCTCTTTCTCTCAGTGCATGTGACCTATAGCAAATTAAATAATAATAATCATGATAATAATAAATAAAAATAAATAATTCTTTAAAAATAATAATAAATTAAATTAAATAATTATTTTTTAAAAGAAGAAAGAAGGTGGCTGATGCCACCCAGCAGGGATGCTCCCCTATAGGGACCAGACAGACTGAAAACACTATTACGAGGCATGGATTCCCAGACTTAGCCAAATAAACCTCGCTTGGGGAGATCCGAATGTCCTGTGTGCTCCTTATTTTTCTTTGGATCCAGGAGAGGCGGAAAGTGCCTCTTAGAGAACTGTGTCCTGCTTGGTGAAGTTCCTTTCACAGCATCTTATTTACAGTGGTCTTCGGGTCATTGTCTTGTCTCAGAGTTACTGTGTGGTCCCTAAAATTCGCACTTTCTCCTTTGGTGGACTAGAAGGTGAGTTCTAGGAGGAAGATTTGGGCCTGCCTTATTGGTAGCTGTGTCTTTCTGCTTGGCCTGTTCGCACTGAGTAAGTGAGGATGAGGGGAGGTTCACCTTTCATCTTCTCATTCCATTCTCTTCCAAGGTGCTCCAAGCCAGCCAAGGCCCAAGGTGGGGTAGAGAGCTCGCCAGCATGCTCGAAAAGCTGGGCCTAAAATTGTGGAGAAGAGAGAGGCCGAGACAGCAGGTAGGATGTAAACGTGTGTCCCCAAGGGACCGGGATGTATCTGGGTGGTGTCCCCGTGCTCCAATACAGAGCTCAGAGGATTCTCAGACTCGGGAGTGACACAGTGAAAACAACGACTGAACAAGATCCTTCTTGCCACGGTGCTGGGTCGTGTGGGTGGGGAGGGACGGAGGTTGAGAGGCCTCGTGGGAGGTAGCTATGCCCTTGGGGCCCGGGCCCTGAGTACAACCGTAGGGGTCAGGGAAGGAGGTTTGGGGGTGCAATGCGGGGCCTGGAAGTTGGTGAGCCGGTGGCTCCGGGACAGTGAGGGAGTGCGGGAGCAGGTGTACCCCAGGCAATCCTGGGAGCCCGGGGGCGGGTACCGCCCAGTCGGGCTCTGGGCGCGGCAAGTCGACGCAGTGGTGCAGACGTTCCCGCTGCCGCGCCGAGCGCAGGCCCGCACTTGTAAGCCCGGGACGAGGGACTTGAAAGCGCCCGGCTCGCCGCCCGGACCTGCCTCGCTGCGCGTCACCAGGGCTCTTTAGGCGGGAGCGCAAGGAAAATTCCCTCTGCCTGGGGGAGTGTGAGGGAGGAGGGAGGCCCAGGACCGCCCCGGGGTTGCCGCTAGAGGAAGACCTCGGGGGAATCAAAGGGCCTGCCACAAGAAGGCATAGTTTCGCAAGACATGCGCTCTCCGAGCCCCAGTATCCCCGGTCTGTAAGTTAAGCAGAGCTAGCCCTCCTTTACTGGGCTTTGTGTTTTTTTGGGCGCTCCACTCACTTTTCTCTCTTCTAACCCTGTGGAAGCCTCTTGTTATTCCTATTTTTGAGATGGCTGAGACGCGGGCAGATCAGGAAACCGGTACTTGGTGCCACAAGATGTGTGATATTTAGAACCAGGGCTCAGTATAGCTGCAAGACTTGGGGTGGGGAAAGAAACTCGCTGTTTTCTGAACTCCTCCTGTGCGAGCCTACGAGTTCCATGCATTTTATTCCATGTCCTACAACCACTTTGGAGAGCAGTTGCTATGTCATCACCCCCATTTGACAGTGGAGGAAACTGAGGTAAAAGCTATTTTCTCATTGTTTCTTTAAACCTACCGATCAAGGGACCGAGTGGGATATGAAATTGCACAGGCTGACTCTTTTTAACCACTACAATGAGCCAAGAAGAAAAAAGCTTTGCAAACTGCCGATCTGATTATTACTGCTGTGGTTGAGCCCGCGCGTGGGTCACGACCCGAGTGAGGGTGGAGCAGGGGTCACTGGGAGCCCAGCCCGCTTTAGCCCAGCCAAACCTCAGCGTGGGGACTCGGAGGCGTGGCCCGAGGCCCCGCCCGTCACCTGCTGGCCCCGCC